TTGTTATCGCCATTGCCGTCAGTGGAAGGACTTGTGGGCTTATCGCTTTTGATAATTTTGAACAGGCTTCACTTAGCTATATGTTGCCTTTCAAAAATAATTGATTTATGCTTTTTCATGTTTCTTCCGTAAATAATGTCTTTCCGATTCCCTGAAACGTGTGAAAAATGTATGAATATATTTTAATAATCCAATGGCATTGTATGAAACTGTCTATTTTCTTGCCAGAAGATAAAGATTGCTTCCATTTTCACGCTTAACTATTTACATAATTTTTGACTTTTAATTGAACTCAATTAGAGCTGTGCAACTGCTCAAACAATCACCAAGACCTTCTCTCGCCAAAATTTAATCCTGCCATCACAGAAAGCACGATAGATGCTTCCATTTTGGTTCTTGTGACATTTTGAACAAATTAAAGATCGTAGGAACTATCTAAAACTACCACGGACAGAAATTATCTTATATAATCCCTTTGCCATTTTAATTGATTAACCCTTGGGAATTTTTTCTTTGGGTCACCTATCACAAGCATTGAAATTGGCAAACAGACAGAAAGTTATATGGAGAAAAATTATCGACATGATCAATTTTAAAAATATCACTTGACAAACAGATGCTAGTTTAACTGTGGAAAATGATCATTCATGTATACTACTGATTCATTCCTTTCTACCAACCAGAATTTCTCCATAAAATTCTGTTACGCCTATCATTTGCAACGAGAGAACGTGTGTATAAACACTCCCTACCACTCTCGAAATTATTGGACCGGATGTTTCCCATTACATCCATTGTTAACACTGCCTCCTATGAATTAATGGATAATGTTTTGCTCAGTTCTAGCTAGTGGCTTCCGTTAGGTTGTTTTATCACAGGTCTAATATAAACCTAGGCAGAAAGTTATATGNACATTTCCCAGAAATGCAGTCATGGACAGAAGTATATTCAGCACTGATAGGTAGGTTAACGGATGCGGTGCTCCAACTGTTACAGCTGCAGTGCATATTAGTTGATGTAACGTTTTCTGCGTTCGATTTCCAGAAACGTTTGTTATCGCCATTGCCGTCAGTGGAAGGACTTGTGGGCTTATCGCTTTTGATATTTTTGAACAGGATTCACTTAGCTATATGTTGCCTCTTAAAAACAATTGATTTTATGCTTTTTCGTGCTTCTTCCTTAAATAGTGCCTTTCATTTCCTGAAACGTGTGAAAAATGAATGAATATATTTTAACAAGCCAATGACTTTTTATGAAACTGTCTATTTTCTTGCCATAAGGTAAAGATTGCTTCCAATTTCACGCTTAATTTAACGCAAACATTTACATAATTTTTGACTTTTAATTGAACTCAATTGGAACTGTGCAACTGCTCAAACAACCACCAAGACCTTTTCTCGCCAAAATTTAATCCTGCCATCACAGAAACCGCCATAGATGCTTCCATTTTAGTTCTTGTGACATTTTGAACAAATGAAAGATCGTTGGAACTACCTAAAACTGCCAAGAACAGAAGTTATGTTATATAATCCCTTTGCCATTTTAATTGTTTATCCCTTGGGAATTTTCTCATTTGGGTCACCTGCTAACACAAACATGGAAATTGGCAAACAGACAGAGTTATATGGAGAAAAATTATTTACATGATCAATTTTAAAAATATCATGTGACAAACAGATGTTGGTTTAACTGTGGAAAATGATTATCGATGTAGACTACTGATTTATTCCTTTCTACCAACCAGAATTTCTCCATAAAAGTCTGTTATGCCTATCATTTGCAACGAGAGAACGTGAGTATAAACACTCACTAAATTACTGGTACAAACACTCTCGAAATTATTGATATAAACAATCTCGAAATTATTGATATAAACACTCTCGAAATTATTGGACCGGATGTTTCCCTTCACGTCCATTGTTAACACTGCCTCCTATGAATTAATGGATAATGTTTTGCTCAGTTCTAGCTAGTGGCTTCCGTTAGGTTGTTTTATCACAGGTCTAATATAAACCTAGGCAGAAAGTTATATGAAGAAAAATTATTGAAATTGACCAAAGCTACAACTGTCATTTACCAAGCAGTGTTTACGATAAACGTTAAATTTTGAGGAAATTTTATTTCCTTGCACCAAGGCACAACTGTTCAGTCCATCTCTACTTAAGGTTACTTTACACTCTTCGATTTTTCGGCTCGATAAACGTTGGTTCATTCGAACTGAACAAGCTAATTTACACACCATGGTTTCCCGCCGCGATTTTTTGGCTTGATTTGAATTTCTAAACTAAGGAAAACTGCAATAAAATATTTCTTAACAACATATTCAGAAATTTCCGTTAAAAACGACGGCGTTTCTATGTTTAGCTAAGGCATTATCAAGTCGAAATCTCGTGAAATCTGAAGTCAAATTTGAATTAATTTCGGGGATAAAAATTTGCCATATTTGTTAAATTTGTTGCAACATATTTTTCAATTCTGACCGGCCAGTTTTATCAAATTTGGGGCATACCGGGTCTACAAATAGCAGAGCCCTTCATGGTTCTCCAGCGGTGACATTTGCGCCCACAAAGCCAAATTAACAAAAATAAATGCACGCACATGCTCTTTGATTAGAATTTAGTTATTAAAGTTTATTTCTAGCCTTCCGATTGGCACAAATCCTGTGAGATGTCATTCTGTGAAATTTGAATGATAATCAGTTCATTTGAGATCTTATAAGATCAACCAGCAATCGAAAGAATACTTCCATAAATATCGGGGCATATATATTGTAAAATATGGATTGAATTGGTAAAACATGGATTAGATTTATAAAACATGGATTTGTAAACCATGGATTTGTAGATTTATACCAAAACCGTTGATAGTTTTGAAACAGTCTATCACACGCGTCAAGGGACTTAAGTCTCTTGCACACTACAGTCTTTTGCGCGTGTTCAATTTCACATCACAACCTTTAACAACCCGTCTACAGCTTCCGTGCAATCGTATCGAAATTTTTAACTATAAACAAGACGCAAGACCATTATTTTTTAGTTTTTATCGACGTTAGATATATCTTTTGCGTTTTAACTGTTCGAAATAATACTCAGGAGTCACGACAGCATTCCTTTAACAACAATACGATAAAATAAAGAATGTTGTCTGTAAAGGTTGAATATGTATTTTCTTGGAATTTTGCTCAAGTAAATTAAGTATATTCTCGCTCGCCTTTTCATCAAAACTTTTCATTTGTCAAAATGCTCTCTTAAGTAACGGTGTCCCTGTGTCTGGCTATGTTGCTTATGTTCCTGTGGCTTATGCGCTATTGAAAAGCAGCCTTTAAGGATTCAGAATAAAAAAAAA